TGTGTGTGTGTGCGCGCGCGCGCGCGCGCGCGCGCTCATGTGTACAGGTGCTCTTGGAGGCCAGAAGAGGCATTGGATCCCCTGGAGTTGACACCATGGGTAGTTATGAGCTGCCTAGTATGGGTGCCGGGAAGTAAACCCCAGTCCTCTGCAAGAGCAACAAGTGCTACTAACTGCTGAATCCTCTCACCAACCCCAGTTGGTTTACTTTTGTTTTAATCTTTGCAAATGTATTCCCCTTTTTATATGTATGGGTGTTTGCCTGCATGTCTGTCTGTGCACCATGTGCATGCCTGGTACTCTCAGAGCCAGAAGTGCCGGATTCCCTGGGACTGGAGTTACAGATGGTTGTGAGCTGCCATGTGGGTGCTAGGAAATTGAATCTGGGTCCTCTGCAAGAGCAGTCAGCGCTCTGAGACGTGGTCTTGCTGAGACACTAGTGCAAGCTGGTCTCATACTCTTAGCCCACTTGCCTGGGATTCCGGATGTGGGATAGCCAACTCAGCTGCTCCAGCAATTACTGATAATTCAAAATATTTCCCCACATCAGGCTCCGCATCTCTCTCTGCCTTCTTTCTGGAATAAATAAGATAAATATAAAACGAAGCCAGGAAACTTACACAAGAACCATGCAACCCTCCCTCATCCGTCACTGTTAACCAAGACGGACATTGTAGCACGGCTCAGATTGGGAAGTAATAGAACAGATGGATGGCAAGTCCCTTATGGACCCCCCAGCCCATTCCACTCCACCCACCCAGGGGTCACCACCGACATGAATTTAACATGGAGACTTCCATGTTGAAGCTGCTTCGTCTGTGGCTGTCTATAAATAAGGTCCGGGTTCTCAGACTTTTCATGTCGCTCACTACTCTCACAGATGAATTTAGAATCATCTTGTCAAAATCCCTGTAGAGTCCTTCCTCAGATTTTTATTGGAGATGCATTAAAGGGATGTATTACTTTGGGGAAGAACTGACATCTTTATATTATTTGGTTTTCCCTCCAGGGACAAAGTATGTTTTTCATTTATTCAGGCTTTCATTATATTATGTCCTTTTGTAAAATACTATTATATCTCTCTTTAGGTCCAGCATGAATTTTACTATGTTATTTCTAGATAATGTATGGTTTTGTGTTGATGATGAAAAGAAGATTTTATTTTTGTATTGTATTACAATCTCTTTTGTTGTTATCGTTACTTTTTTATTTGGCTTTTGAGACAGTCTCAGGTAGCATAGGCTAGCCTCAAAGTCAATATGCAGTAGAGGGTGGCCTTAAACTCCTAATCTTTCTGCCGCTTCCCCAGTGCCAAGATCACAGATTTGCGCTGCTATGCCCAGCTCTATATTAACTTGTGAATCATTATTATTGATATGCAAAAAGACAGAAAACTAAAATATGTACTCTGCATCTGGTCATATCACTAGGTTCTTTCTGTCTAAAATGACAATTTTTCAATTGATTTTTTTCTGTTTTCTTCCCCTTCCTTTTTTCCTTCCTTCTTTGGTTTTATGAGACAGGGTTTCTCTGTGTATCCCTGGCTGTATTGGAACTCGACCTGTAGACCAGGTTGGCTTCAAACTCACAGCGATCCACCTGCCTCTGTTTCCTGAGTGCTGGGGTTAAAGGCATGTGCCACTATACACAGCTTCTCTTTCTTTTCCTCCCTCCCTCCCTCCCTCCCTCCCACCCTCCCTTCCTTCCTTCCTTCCTTCCTTCTCCTTCTTCTTTTCTGAGACAGGGTCTCTCTGTGTAGCTTTGATGCCTGTCCTGGAACTAGCTCTTGTAGCACAGACTGACTTTGAACTCACAGAGATCCACCTGCCTCTGCCTCCCAAGTGCTGGGATTTAAAAGCATGTGCCACCATGCCTGATTTTTTGTTTTCTTCTTAGGCAGTTGTGCACTGTATATAACACCAAAGACTTGCAGACAATGAGAGTTTAGTCTGCTTCCCACTGGTTCGATGTCATCTTTTGATGACATACACATGGGCAAAACACTCGTATGCATAGAATAATAAAGCAAATTATGCAAACAAACCAACCAACCTGACAGTGTCGAGGCATGAGATGAACTGGAGCACGAGAATTAAAGGCATGAGCCACCTGGCCTAGCTTCAGTCTAGGCTTCTAACTGTCTCCAGTCCTATCCAGTTAGTAGTCTGACTTTGTGAAAGAAAGAAAGAAAGAAAGAAAGAAAGAAAGAAAGAAAGAAAGAAAGAAAGAAAGAAAGAAAGAAATTTAGTTTTCATTAAAATAGGGCTGGGTGTGGTGGTGAACACTTTTATTCTCTGCACTCAGGAAGCAGAGGCAGGTGGATCCCTGTGAGTTTGAGGTCAGTCAGAGCTGCATAGTGAGACCCTGTCTCAATAAATACATAAATAAATATGGAATGACAATCTTAATAAAACAAATTGATTTTTAGGAATAATCTTTTTTTTATATTGCACGTGTGTGGCTGTTAGAAGACAATTGCAGGGGTCAGTTTTCTCCTTCTGCCATGTGGGCCCTGGGACTAGAACTCAGGTCCTTGGGCTTGGCAGGAAGCAGTTTTACCTAACTGAGCCATCAACCCAATCCCTGAACTCTCTCCCTTTATCAGGAAGGAATTCATTATCTTTTCTAGCTCTAACATTCTATGATTACCACTGACTCAGAAAAAATATTAAATTCCCATCATGAAAATCACACCGGGCTATGGTGGCGCACACCTTTAATCCCAGCACTCGGGAGGCAGAGGCAGGCAGATCTGTGTGAGTTCGAGACTAGCCTGGTCTACAGAGCTAGTTCCAGGACAGGCTCCAAAGCCACAGAGGAACCCTGTCTCGAAAAAAACCAACCAAACAAACAAAAAACAACAACAACAACAACAAGAAAGAAAGAAAGAAAGAAAGAAAGAAAGAAAGAAAGAAAGAAAGAAAGAAAATCACTATCCAGCAGTTCATAGCCAGTTACAGGCATAAAATAGCAGGGCCAGGTCTTTGCTATCCCTTGGTTTAGTTTATTCGGCAGGGAGACCCGTGGTGGGCAGGGAATCAAGAGCCGCTCCTGCTCCGCAGAGAAGGCTTAAACCCTCATAGTCTCATGCCAGCAATAAGGCTGGGGATGGCATTGGGGTGGGTCCTCACCTTAGGGGTAGCGAACAGCAGCCCTATTCAACACCATTAGGAAGTTGCTGAGCCAGCAAACTGAAGGTTACAAAGCCTGCAGCTGCCACAGATCAAGCCAAGCATGAGGTCAGAAGACTGGAAAATTAGGGTGGGCCCATGGAGAATTCTGGGAGCAGAGGTCAGCCACAAGCCTGGGGTAGAAGTCAGACTGCTAGCCCGAGGCGAAGGAACTTACCATTCCTAATGCTCTGGTGGGAAGGTGGGCGCCTGAAAGTGTCCCCGGTGAGGGAGAAGGGTCTAGTCAGTTAGGGCTGAGCGCCCCACCCGCTTGCCCCCGATACTTAGGCTGACCTAACGCCACTACCCAGGGCTGGGGCCTTGCCCTGTGTGAGAGAGGAAACTCAGAAATAGTTGTTGCCTCAAACTGACCTAAGTGAGTTAAAACCTCAGGGGTCATCGCACAGAATAAACCTGGTGTCTTAGCAGATGTTTCCCGCCCCCGGGGTTACGCAGGAAGTGTCTCCAGAAGTGAGCAGAAGGGCTGTCTCCAAGTCCTCAGGGGAACGCTATGGGGTAGTCACGGGGCTTAGGGGGATCTTGCCTAAGGATGCTCAGTTGGTGATCCTCAGTATTTCCAAATTTCATACTTTCAAACTCACCCATATTAGTTTTTTGTTTTGTTCTGTTGTTCTTGCCGCTGTGTCAAAACACCGGACAAGACGCAAAGCAAGGAAGGGAGGTTGTGTGGCTCACACTTTAAGGATACAGTCCTTCATGGGTGGGGGGGAGGCAGGCTGGTGGGAGCATGAGGCGGTTGGCCACACTGCACTCACAGGTAGGGAGCAGAGAGATGAATACGGATGGCCAGGGGGCTTTTCCTTCAGTCCAGGACCCCAGTCCAAACAGTGTCACCCACATTCAGGACCCACAGCTCCTTCCTCCCCGGTTGCCTTTCTGGAACTATCTTAAGATAGACACACCTAGAGGCATGTTTCCATGGTGATTCCAAATCTACTCAGTTGACCATACAGATTACCCACCACAAATACCGAGTAAAATATAACTACAAATCCAGTGTCTAACAAGAACTTCATGGTCATCCAAAGATCTGCACAGAGTAGGATTTTTTTTTTTGAATCAACCAATGGGCACTCTTTTAACAGAGGCTGAATAAGTGATGTGTTCCCATTCTCTGACCGAGCATGGTTTCTGCTGTCTAGACAGGGCCAGATCTTTGCATTTCTGTGTTCACCCTGCTTAAGTGGCTTCCAGCCAGGCACAGAGCTACACCCATCTTTGATCCCCGCAGTCAGGAGGCAGAGGCAGGTCACAGAGTTGGAAACCAGGCTGGAATACATGGCGTGACCTTGTCTCAAAAGAGTAACAATAATTAATAACAAAATCAACAAAAATTAACGTTTACTAATTAAGATATAAAATGCACCACAGGCGGCACTTCCCTCCCATATCTCAGTGAGTCACAATATATATTAAATAAGCCTCTTTTATGGGGGGCGGGGAAGTTCGAGACAGGGTTTCTCTGTGGCTTTGGAGCCTGTCCTGGAACTCGTTCTGTAGACCAGGCTGGCCTTGAACTTACAGAGATCCGCCTGCCTCTGTCTCCCAAGTGCTGGGATATAAAGGCTTGCACCACCACCACCGGGTTTAAATAAGTCTTTTAGAAAGAAACTCATCTAAAGTAAGATTGTGCTCTGATTGGTGGGTGAAAACAGTGACGGGAAGCTGGTGGGAAAGAAACCTCACAATTCCTCGGTTGCAGGGAGCTAATGTTGAGTACTTCCTGCGCCTTGAGGGCACGTGACTACCTGAACACTAACGGGAATTGGCTGTTCCGGGCCTGTATCCAGATCCTGGGGCGTTCTTACACTAACCCTAGGAAATGTTTCAGGGGCCATCGAATGATTGTTGCAAATAAAAATAAAAATATCTGGAAGCGTTTTCATGATCTTTATTTCATTTTTATAGGCCCGGCCGCAGTTCTGCTTGACAAGTTCTGAATGTGATGGCCCATTTAGGACCGGATGTTCTGTTGCAGAAGCAGATGAAAGGCAGCTGCGCGGCCATACTGCCTCACTGTTCTTCCCGCACATCTCACTGTGAATTTACTATGTGGACGCCTCCGCAGGAAGCCAGGTCCAGGGCAGAGGTGAGTGGATAGGGGTTCACGGAGGGGTCGCCAGGCCCACTCAAGTAGTTTGCAGGGAACTCGCCCAGTCATAACAGACTGGAACTTTTCTTTGGCTTTTAGTGTGTACCTTCCCCCCCCCCCCCCCCCCCCCCCCCCTCCCCCCCCCCCCCCCCCCCCTCCGTCCCTGTTTCGAAATCATCAGACCGGACTTGGGACCTGAGAACGCTATGACTAGGTTCAGGTCAGACAACACAGGCGATGGAGGTGGATGCCAGGCAAAGCTCTTGCTGGCTGAGCGAATGCTGCCGGGACACAAAACCCGTGTGGTGCCAAGTAGACCTCTTCTCGAGCTTCTCTTGCTGTGAGGATGTGAAGGCAAATGTTAGCTGTTCTTTCTTGGGTCCTACCCAGGCTTTAGTCTCCTCATACTCTTTCCTCATGTCTACAGGCATCCCAAGCCACAATTTCCTTCCCTTTTACCTGGATTTTTCTTTTCAGTTCAGTTGAGGTAAATTTATTTGCGTTTAAATTCATGGGATAAATAGCTGGGTTTTTTCCCCCATCCTTTCCAACTCCCCGAGCTCTTAAATGCCACATGTTCTGAAGGCCACATCTCAGACACTCCTCTCATAGAAAAAAGAGCTTCAAGGCCAGCCAGTGAGGCCTTCCTTGGGTGGTGGGGAGTTGCCTGCCTCCTTCGGGGCTTCCCGAGCGTCCTTCACGTCCAGCTGGAGAGCTTGTGTGGCCAGTCCCGGGAGGAATTCATCACTGGGGACCAGACCCGTGTCACACGCCTTCCGGTTTCCTACTTTGAGACACCCTTTCTCACACAGGGGTCAAGAGTGGGGGCCTCACAAATGAGCGCTCGAGACGAGCTGCTAGAAATGTTTTCTTAGCGAGTCCTTTCTCTCCCCTGAGACCGAGAGAGTTTGATCTCCAGACCTTTCAGTCCTTCAGCAGATGTCATAAACCACAGCTATGTTTCATATTAAAGGACGGAGAAGTGACTAACACTGTCCATCTGCCTCAGCTGGCCTGGGCAGTCTGCCCGGGTGGGGAAGGGGGAAGAGCAGGGGGAGGACTCTGCCTCTGGCCCCGAGAGCCAGTGAGAGCACAGAGATCCTTCCTGGTTTGCATCTCTTAACTTGTGCTTGCAGCATGCAGAGGATCCAGGCACAGCCTTGTGCTGGACACCAAAGCCAACCAGTGGAGGGACATGTAGAATTAACAGTCTGGGGCTTATTTCTTTCTTCTTTTCAAGGTACTAATTGTTTTGCAAACACTTTTGGCCTATATCGTGTGTGCATGTGGTGTGTGTGTGTGTGTGTGTGTGTGTGTGTGTGTAAGAGCGGTATGGGGGTGAGATTTTGCAAGGTGGTATATGGATGAGGTTGGGTGCTCAGCTAAATAAGTGAGGAGCTTCCTGTCATCTCAAACTCTCACTGCAGCCTGCTCCAGTGACGGACACAGTCTTAGTGATGGACAGAGAAGACGAAGAGCCACGAGGGCCTAAGAAGAAATGAAGCATCCCTCCCAGGGCCTTCGCTCCACCATCACCAGCCTTGCTACGCCCTTGCCAGTGTCTCCCAGTACAGCCCAGTCATGCATGGTGTGGGTCTCTTGGAGCACACAGGGCTTCACACAGGTGCAGTCAGGTGGTACAGAATGGGCACAATCTGAGGTGGGGTCCCCAGCACTGAGAGCCCTCCTCTCTCCTGCACCTTGCTCAGGTTTCTGCCACCTGAAGCTCTTTCTTCACAGCGTCTGCCTTTTGACGCTAAATTAGCAATATCTGCACCCTTGCAAGATGCAAATGCTCACCCGGGCGGTGGTGGCGCACGCCTTTAATCCCAGTGCTCAGGAGGCAGAGGCAGACGGATCTCTGTGAGTTTGAGGCCAGCCTGGTCTACAAGAGCTAGCTCCAGGAGAGCCTGGGCTGTTACACAGAGAAACCTTGCGTAACAAATCAAAACAAACAAACAATGCAAATGATCTCAGGGTGAGCAAGCATTTTTAAAATGCTGATTATGTGGCCCCCCTGAGAGGTGGCTCAGTAGTTAAGAGCACTTTTCAGTTCTTGCAGGGGACCCAGGATTTGGTTCCCAGCAGCCACATGGTGGCCCACAGTCATCCATAACTCCACTTTCAAGGGATCTGAACACTTTTCTGACTTCTGCAGGCACACACACACACACACACACACACACAGAATGCACATAAAATAAATGCAGATAAAATTTTAAACATAAATCAAGTGCTAATTATGATTATAAATGCAGACAGCCCCAGATCCAAACACCAAATAGGAACATCTTACAAATCACGTAATTGATTTTTTTTCATTTGATGAATTTTATTTGCTGGAATTTTTATATAAAACGAATCACGAGTGTTTTAAAAGTATTTTAAACAAAACTTTGAGAGGAAATTTACCCCTTGATACATATCTCTCCTTCCCATATTCTGTACAGCAAGTACAACCGTGCTGGAGATGTGTGGCTCTCTTAGGGGCTCCTGTGTGCACACTGTGTGTACAAATGTGTGCACACTATGTGCTTGCGTCTGCACACGCTGCTTTAACAAAGACAGCCCAGATCTCCATGTACTGCCATACTGCTTGCTTGTTTTCCATCCCCTGCATAAGAAATCTCTTTTCTGATATTACGTTTCTTGTCTGTCTATATTACCTGAGTTTCAAAAATTAAATTTAATTGGCTAGTCAGGGTGGTAACTAGCTGAAATATCACTACTCGGAGACATAGACAGGAGGATTGAAGAGCGTTTAAGGCCAGTTTAGGCTACAAAGCAGAATGATGTCTCAAAACAAACCAACAAACCAGCAAATGGAGGCCAGCAGGATGGCTAAGAAGGTAAAGAAGCTGCATAAGCCTGGTGCCCTGAGTTCGATTGCTGGCATTCATAAAGGAGACAGGAAAGAACTTAGTGCATGAAATTGTATTCTAGCTTCTACCCTCATGCCATGGAACACACACATTTACACACACATACACACACACACACACACACACACACACACAGAGAGAGAGAGAGAGAGAGAGAGAGAGAGAGAGAGAGAGAGAGAGAGAGAGATGTCTTTAGTCCCAGCACTCAAGAGGCTGTGACTTTGAGTTCAGCCTGTTCAAGTTTTAAGCCAACCAGAGCTACATAATGAGACCCTGTCTCAATAAAACAAAACGAAACCCACTCTTCCCAAACATTACCAAACATCTTAAAAGTGGGCTTTTGACTGTTTTTTTATTGCTATTGACTTTTATTAAGCAGAGGGAATTATGGGCTTTTAAGGCAGTGTTGCCCATGATCTCCTCCTCCCTTGGTGATGTCCTTCAGGGTGCTGTATCTAGTGTGGCAGCTATTAGCTGCCCGTGGCTACTGAGCACTGGGCATGCAACAATGTGGCCAGGGAACTGGGTGCTCTGGTTGCTCGGTTTACTTACTTGATTTCGTTTTTCTTTTTAAGGCAGGATCTCACTGTGCGGCCTAAGCTGGCCTGAAACTCACCATCAGCCTCCTTCAGCCTCCAGAGAGCGGACATCATAGGAGAGCACCATGTCTGTCTTTAAACAATTAGATGCCAATTTAAATAGTTACAGGTGTCTTTTGTATTGGCTGATGTGTTTCCAGAAATTGTTGGCAGAATAGATTAATATTAATATAGAATAGATTAATATTAATGTTAATAGAAGGGTACAGAGACTTTGAAACCAGACTTTTGAACCCCATAATTTCTTCCATTTTCTGGCTCATTACTTTGTACAAGCTACCCCAACTGTCTGAGCCTTGATTTGGTGGTCTGTGAAGTAGGGGCCCGCGAGTTAGCATGTGTAAATCAGTTGATTTGGGGCTTAAGGACGTAGCAGGTCTCTGTTAGAAAGTAATTTATTTGTAGTCTGGCATGGTGGTGGCACACACCTTTGATTCCAGTACTCAGGAGACAGAAGCAGGCAGATTTCTGAGTTTGAGGCCAGTCTGGTCTACAGTGAGGAACGAAAACCCAGTGCTGAGAGGAGAGGAGGCTAGAGAAAAGACCACTCACTTGAATGAAAAGACACTTTATTACTGCAGCAAAGGTGGGTCCTAAGTGCTGACAACAGCCTCTCCATCTTGCTTACCTTAGCCAACAGTTGCAAGATAAGGGAAAGAAAGGGCAGACAGGAGGCATGCCTGCATCTTCACGTTTCCCTCTCTGGAGGACACAGGTCTAGGTCCTGGTCCAGCTTGATTCCCCGGCTTTGGGCCAGGCAGGACAGAGGCCTGCTTCAGGTCACCCCTCCCCCAGCCTGCACCAGATGGCAGGCACGATGGTCCCAGCCCTCAGAGCCATCCCTGTGCTGAAGCCGTTTTAAGGATAATTTCAGTAAAGACGGCTCAGAATGACAACCTGACTGCAGAAGCGTGAGCCCTGCTCCCAGGGACACAGTCAGTACAGTGCCACCAGTCCATGAAATGTGGAGATAGTTCCCCCAGGGGTTCGTTACAGATTTCCTGGTTCTATCAGACCCCAGCCACACTACATGTGGATACCTGGACCTGGAGCGTTTATAGCGTGTTTCTCTGGCTGTTGCTATGATCTAAGACCCTGTCTCTTGACTCCCTTCTTCCTAACCTCTGCCTGTGAGTGGTTCACAAAAGAATGAATGACAGGCAGTTGGATGGATCCTTGAGATTCTGTATTCTTTTTTAAGACTTAGTTATTATATATATGAAGCTGGAATATATATATTCATATATATATATATATATATTCACCTTCCTGGACCTGGATAGAAGTGGGAGGACCTTGGACTTCCCACAGGGCAGGGAATCTGGACTGCTCTTCATT